TTCCTGGTTGTTCAGTCGGAAGGTAATCGTCTCTATCAGGACAGACGACGACCTGTTCTTCTCCACGGAGCTCAAGAATTCGAGCACCAGTCTCCTATACGTCCCCGGTCGAGTACCGAAGATCTCTGCCAGCCCGAGTCTACTCCAAAGAGCCCTCACCGCCTCATGTATGCCAATCCTCGGTGGCCTCATCGGGATATCGGGTCGGCTTTATAGCCATCTTCGCGAGCCGGGTCCATTTTTCCTTCTGCCTTTCGTGCTGCAATATAACTCCCAACTCGCTTCCGGGAGCCGCTTCGATCTCAACATTCTCACGTGGTGGTGGATTCGGTGTAGGAGTCGGTGAACGGCCCACACGAGGACAGACCGGAGTCCTCTCGAGCTTCCGAGCAGAGACAGAGGCGTCGACAGCTGGACATGGAGGAGAGGATGATGATGCTTGAGCAGGAGATGCGCGAGCTGTGGACAGATGTACGGGGTCTAAGGGATGAGAACCGTGCGTCTACGGCCCGGCTAGAGTAGCGGATGGCGAGCGGCTTCCAGCGGCTGTTTGACTGAATGCAGAGACACGAGGGGAATTTTTTCCTCCTCAGTCGTGATTACAGGAAGTTAGTCTCGTAAGATATACCACTGTTTCTTTGAAACTTGTTCTTTCGAGAAAGAATAAGTTCGGGGGAGGGGTGCTGCATATCTTAGGTTCTTATCCCAGTTATCTTGCATTGCATGTAGGTTGCATTAGTTTATTTTACTTTTTATGTGTTTATTTGAATAGAGCACGTTTGTTTGCTTTCTAGGAGTAGGTTTTATTATGAGTCTCTTGTGTATTTTGGGCTCTTGGTTGATGATGGTATGTATAATTTGAATGGTGGATTGTGATTTGATGTGATTGAGAAAATGTGACGGGTTGTAATTTGTTGTGCCTAGATGAAAATGCTTGTGAGCCTTGAATTAACGATATATTGAGCCTAGTGAGACTTGAGCCTTTATTCATTGTTTGTGTGTGTCAATTGAATGCTAGAGTTATTAGAATTTGAAAAAAAATGCGTTGGTGATTGTGAGCTGTAAAAATGATTTAGGCGGTTTTTGATTTTGCTCGTTTGGCCTTGCTTCATTGTCCTTAAAAATATTTTTCACTAGTGGCCTGTTAGAACCGTATGCTCCTTTTCTTGTCGACCAGATTATTTTGTTTATTTTGAGAGTTGACTATTGTTTGGGATGTATTGGGATAATGGTGTTATTTATTGGATGATTGGATATGGAATGTGGTGTAATCGAGTTGCACTTATGGTGCATGACCGAAAAAAAAAGTGATGGAAAATAAATAAAAAAAATGATGATAAAAGGGAGCTCGCAAGTTGAATTGTCGGGATTCTACACCTCCTACTAGTTAATTCATTTTGACGAGTAATGAGTATGAGAAACTACTTTAGGATACTTGGATGCCTTCCAATGTTTATATCTAGAGAATGTTGTCCTTACGGTTTGTTCTTGTTTGGAAAAAAATTGAACTCGTTAAAAAAAAAATAAAACGGTCGAGTACTTCGTTTGCAATTTGGTTTGAGCACTTATGAGTTGTGTGTGGATTATTTTGGTTTGGGGATGAGAAACGCTTTATGTTGATTAGGGAGGAGTAGCGGAGTAGTCGAGTAGTCTATTTACTCGAATGATATGATTGTTTATTTTAACCACTTAACCCATATGTATATCTTACCCTTGACCAAATGCCTACGTTACAACCCGAGAAGACTTTTTGATTTAAAGCTCATAATTACTAGTTGTGTTTGAAGTAGGGTGTTAGATGATTGACAAACATATAGTTAACCGGGTGTTCAACTTGACTTGAGCGTTTCCTTCTCTTTTATTGATGACATGTGAGTGAGGCACTTATATTATTCCTATTTGAGGGTTCGTTGATTCAAGGTACATACAAGATAATAGTCAAAAGTATGATAATTATGATCGTTTGAATTTTTCTTGGTTGCATTGAAGTACTTGAAGCTGTTCTAGTTTGATATCACTCATTATGCTTGAGTTTTGATTTTCTTATTCTTGTTCGGGGACGAACAAAAGTTTAAATTTAGGGGAGTTGACATTCATCATGTTTTCATGCATTATGAGTGATATATATGAGATTTAGTTGTGTTTATCGTGAAATCGTTCACCATTTAGTTTTATTTATTAATCTATGATATAGGTGTATTTGTCGTTGGTTTTGCAGGAAATATGCCTGGAAAGGTGCTGAAAATGGAATCGGGACGAAAAACGACAAAATCGAGGTGCAGATGAGTCATACGACTCGTGTGAGTAGGTGACACGAGTCGTGTGGGTTGAAAGAATGCAGAATTTGAAGAATTTCACTACGGGTTTTTTACACGACTCGTGTGTCAAGTGACACGAGTCGTGTGACATCAAACGACTCGTGTGACCCGGTCGTGTGAATGGTCGTGTGAGTCTGGGAGTTGGCCGAAAATTCGAGGAAAGTCACACGACTCGTGTGGCATGTGACACGAGTCGTGTGACCCGCAGATTGACCAGCGGGAAATAGGATTCCTACGCGATTTATTCCCTTTTTCGACCCATATTTGTCCTACAGTATATAAGGAACATGGAGAACACAGTTTTGGGACTTTTAACACCATTGGAGGCCTAGAGAAAGCACGAAACACACGAGGGATTCGAGGAAGTCAAGATTGAAGATTCGAGAACTAACGGCGACAATAGTTCTTCTTCTTTTCTCTTTTTCTTCTTCATTGAACTCATGGTTTGTTTATTTTGAGTATTGAGAATATATTTAGTAGCTAAACCTCTTTGAGATTCTAGGATTTGCGAGTACTCGGATTATTTTATGAAGTGATTTTATTTATTGATTTCGGTCTATCTTTCGTTTATCAATTTCTTGTGATTATATGAATAGTGTGAATATAGGGTCGTATTTGTGCATATTTTTGATTGACTTGAGATCGAGAGGAGAAAATTGATTGCTAGAATTGGGAAGTTCATAACGTAAGAGATTAAACAGACCGAGAGGGGTTGATAGAATCTTGCGAGGGAACTCTGAGATAAAAGGAAAAAAAAGAATCTTGCGAGGGAACTAGAATCTTAGGAGTTTGTGAGAGTTAGTTATTCATCTTGAGACCGAGAGGAGATAGATAGCAATTAATATCTACGATTTAACTTGTTCGAGAGAAAGGTGTAAATCACTTTAGCGATTATCCGTACGATTGGTGGAATTAAATAAGGTTTGAATGAATAAGAAATCTTTGCTAGAATAATCCTGAGGAAAGCATAGCCTAGAATCTATTTTCTCATTCTTGATTCATCTTAGTACAAGCCTTCTTTAGTGTTAGAATTTATTTTGCAAGCATTTATTAGTTTAGATCAAAATCACCATTCAAATTTGAGTTAGTCTAAATAATATTTAACCGTCTATATTTTGGTACTTAATTAGTTTAACATCAATCTCTGTGGAATACAACCTTGCTTGCCGCTTACTATAGCTACACCGTACACTTGTGGGTAGTGAAAATATTTTGCGAACAGCACACCATAAGAGGGTGAGCCTAGGTGCACCTTAGTGAGGTTCCATTCCAAAACCAATTGGTGGTGGGAGGAGTAGCCTACTAGGCTTATATACTAGACTCATTTTCCATGTAGAATCAATTTGGACAACTCACAAGTGATATTCCAACATGCCCCTTCACTTGTGAGTCCTTCGTAAGCCCAAGCCCACAGAACAGGCCGGGTAGAGAGATAAGCCCAAGCCCAGAACAGGCCGGATAGAGAAAGTCAATATAGCAGGTCCTAGGACAGACCCGCTCTGATACCATATTAAATCCGGGGGAAGAGAGTGCGGTCCCACCAGGTAAAGCACACCATAAGAGAGTGAGCCTAGGTGCACCTTAGTGAAGTTTCATCCCAAAACCAATTGGTGATGGGAGGAGTAGCCCACTAGGCTTATATACTAAACTCATTTTCTCTGTAGAATCAATGAGGGACAACTCACAAGTGATATTCCAACATGTATGAAATAGTAATTCTGTGTATGTGTGTCTGTATGTTTGTTTAATCTCTTATCCTCTAGTGTTGTTGTTGTATATTATAGTTGGATATAAATTTATGATGTGTAGGCATTTCATTTTGCTAATAATTATGCCATATAAAAATTCGATTTATTTGTACTGTGGAATTTTTAAAAATTCAAATAGTGCACCAACATTTGGTTAAGGAAGAAAAATCCCATTGATATCATCGTTCTTCAGAAAATGAGATCGACGCCGAACTAGTAAAAGCACATCAAATACAGTGCAAAGTGAGCATAATTTTTTTTTCTTTTTTCTTCTTCTTTTTTTTTTTTGTAGAAGCTTTTCGAGCAAAACTTCAAATATTTGAAGAAAAAATAATTTTTAATGTGAGTTCTATGAAAAACGAGTTTTTAAAATTCTAGTCCAATATACTCTTAATTTCTAGATCTGTTCCTGAGTATTGTTATGAAAATTACTACTGATATTTTACTTAAACTTTCATCAACTCAATAAGAAATGACTGAACGAAATGTGACAGAAAAAGTAGAAAAGAACTACCCTTATTTTCCAATAGGCTACATTAGCAATACTGATTAAAAGGTATAATAACACAATCCAAACAACAATCCTAATCATCCCATAAACTCAATTTTTCCTGATGATGATGAATTTTCATTGTAATTTATTGCAAAAGTCAATTATTGCATCATTGCATTTAGGCAATGAAAGTATAGTACAATTTATGTAATGCAAGAAAGATTAATTAAATTATGAATTTTTGTTCCCACCATCCATTCAATCATTTTATTTGCTGCATAGAATAATAATATAACAAGTTCAAAAACCCAAGCTAAGAATTAATTAAACATTCCTCAAAATCTTTTCAAGAAACACCTATTAATTAAACACCTTGTATTTCCCTCATTCTTCTACTCAACATATTTCTAGTTTTTAACTTATTCGACCTCGTCTCACAACATGAAACCCCTATCGGCGTCGAATCTCATGGACGACATGATTGGAACACAGAAAGAAAGCTCGGCTAAAGGACTTTCCCAACTTAAGAAGTACCTCTCGCGCCTCGGATACATAGCTAAGACGAGCACCACATCACCGCACGATGACGATGATTTTTTTGATGAAAAATTAGAGCTAGCCATAAAAATCTACCAAAGATTCTTCAAGCTCCAAGTAAATGGAATCTTGGATGCATACACAATTTCCAAATTGAAGGAGCCTCGTTGTGGGGTGGCAGATTTTGTTTTGGACAACGTAAAAATTTCGTCAAATGACCATTATAGCCGCTCCAAGTACACCTTCTTTCCGGGCCAGCCCAAATGGCCGCCCGACAAGAGAAACTTAACGTATTCGTTTCCAGAAGGCGCAAGGGATGATTTGAAACGGGCCATTTTGGATGCGTGTAAATTATGGGCCAATGCGTCGCCTTTTATGTTCATGTACGTTACTTGAAGATTATAGGCCAATTTACACGCTTGCTATAAGAAAAAGAAAATATTGCATATAGACGATCAAGTAAAGAATATTAGCATTGCTACGGGAAATCAGATGATAGTAGTTGAATGGGTAAAAACAGTTACAAAAAAAAACGGATGCAATATGCCAATATCCACTCATATCCATTTTTTTTAAACTTTGTTTATAACAAAAAAACT